ATTCTTTCAATAGTTTGGACAAAGCATGCTTGTGGCATTGTCGTCTTGGACATGTCAACAAGAAACGCATAGCCCAACTCCAAAAGGATGGAGTACTGGAGTCATTCGCCTTAGGGACAATGACGTGTGCGAGTCTTGTTTATTTGGAAAGATGACCAAGTCACCCTTCACTGGTTCTTGTGATCTCATACACACCGATGTGTGTGGGCCCTTTAGATCCACCACAAGGGATGCAATTCGTTTCTATATGACTTTCACCAATGATTATAGCAGATATGGGTATATCTACTTAATCAAGAACAAGTCATAAACCTTTGAAAAGTTCAAATAGTTTAAGCAGGAAGTGGAGAATCAGCTGGGCAGGAAAATCAAGATGTTTCGATCCGATCAAGGTGGAGAGTACCTTAGTCTTGAATTCCACGACTACCTCAAGGAATGCGGAATCGTTTTGCAATTGACGCCACTTAGGACACCGTAGTTGAATGGTGTCGCTGAGAGGCGTAATCAAACCTTGATAGACATGGTTCGTTCCATGATGACTCGTGCTTCGCTACCTATCTCATTCTGGGATTATGCCTTAGAAACTGCCACCCATATCCTTAACTTAGTCCCTACGAAGAAGGTTTCCAAAACACATCATGAGATGTGGACATGGAAAGCTACCTCGTTGGCACATATTAAGGTTTGGGGTTGCGAGGCTTTCATAAGACGAGAGACTCACGACAAGCTCGAACCTCGTAGCGAGCGGTGTATTTTCATCGGCTACCCACAAAAGTCCTTTGGAAATCTCTTCTATAGACCGAGTGATAATGTTGTCTTCGTTGCAAGGAGAGGGGTTTTCCGAGAGCAAGAACTCATAAGCCAAGGGGACAGTGGGAGGCAAATCGATCTTGAAGAGCTTCAAGAATCGAACGATGAAGGAACGTCTAACATTGGCGTTCAACCTGAGGAGGAAACTCCTGTTGAACCTGTTGACGAGTCCTGACCTCTTAGACGTTCCAGTAGAGTTAGTGTTCCACCTGTGTTATATGCTTTTCATATAACAAGTGAAGGTGATACATTTTATTAGTGATAGTACACTAATAAATTTGGATGATCCTAACAACTACAAGGAAGCAATGGTAATCCCGAAGTCTGCAAAATGGAAAGAGGCTATGGACAACAAGATTCAGTCCATGTATGACAACCAAGTTTGTAATTTGGTTGAGAATGTACCAGGTCGTAAGACGGTCGGGTGCAAGTGGATCTTCAAGAAGAAGACCGACATGGATGGGAAAGTGCACACTTATAAGGCGCGATTGGTTGCGAAGGGCTTTACTCGAACTCCTGGAGTGGACTATGACGAGACCTTCTCACTAGTTGTGAAGATAAAGTCTATTAGGGTGATGCTAGTCATAGCTGCGTTTCATGATTATGAAATATGGAAAATGGATGTCAAAACCGCTTTCCTTAGTGGGAAGTTGGTTGAGGATGTTTACATGAGTCAGCGAAAGGGTTTTGTCGATGCGAAGCATCCTAATAGATTGTGTAAGCTTGAGAAATCCATTTATGGATTGAAACAATCATCTCACATGTGGGATCTTTGTTTCGACGAGAAAGTCAAAGAGTTTGGCTTCCTGCGAAGTGAGGATGAGTCATGTGTGTATGTCAAAGCTAGTGGGAGTATAATTAGCTTCCTCGTATTGTATATCGATAATATACTACTCATAGGAAACGATATCCCGACCCTGCAGGAAGTTAAGTCCTAGCTTGGGAAGTGTTTCGCTATGAAGGACCTCGGAGAGGCTACCTATATTCTGGGAATACGGATAGTGAGAAACAGGAGTAAGAGACTAATAGGACTTAGTCATAATACTTGCTTGGAAAAGGTACTACAACATTTTAGTATGGAGAATTCCAATAAAGGGGAGTTACCGATCCAAAGCAATGCCAAGTTGAGTAAGACTCAAAGCTCGAGTACCAAAGTCGAGATAGCGGAGATCAATCGAGTAATTTATGCTTTCACAATTGGCTCAATCATGTATGTTACGACTTGTACTCGCCCTGATGTGACCTTCGCTTTGAGCATGGTCAACAGATAACAAGGGAACCCTGATAGAGCACATTAGATCGCAGTCAAGAATATTCTTAAGTACCTTCGGAGGACCAAGGAATGGTTTCTAGTCCTCGGTGGGAGTGATGACTTAAGGGTGCGAGGGTATAGTGACACCGGTTTTCAGACCGACCGAGATAATTATCGATCTCAGTCAGTCTAGGTCTTTACCTTGAATAGAGGAGCAATGACTTGGAAGAGTTCCAAGCTAGAGACCGTAGCTGATTCAATGTGCGGATAAGAGTACATAGCGGCGAGCGAAGCATCAAAGGAGGCGATATGGTTGAAGAACTTCATGGGAGATCTTGGAGTTGTGCCAGCCATAAAGGAGCCTATGGAGATTTTCTCCGATAATGAAGGAGCGGTTGACTTGATCAAGGAACCGAAGGATCATGGCAGATCTCGACATATCTACAGGAAATATCACTTTATTAGACATCGGGTAGAAGAGGGACTCCTCATAGTAAAGAGGGTATCGTCAGAGGATAACCCAACAGATCCCCTCACGAAGGGATTGAGTAGGGTTAAGCACTTACAGCACGTTAGGAGCATTATGTTGAATGATGATATTAGTTTAGATTAGATAGTTTCGAAACATGTAATAGATAAATTGTAATTGACATTTGATGATTAAATAAATGAGTATTATTTATGAGTAAAGTTTGAAAATTTTTAACGGTTTTTATTTTAATTTTTGTATCCGGTAATTTTTATTCAACTTTCTATTCTTTTTAGTTATTATCTAGGTTTCATGTTGCTATAAATGAAATTAAAAAAAAATCATTTACGGATTTACCAATTACCAAGTTTACAGATGAAAAAATCTTAATAAGTTAGGACACTGCTATAGTAAGTAATTTTTTGAAAAAAAAAATCAAAACAAATGTTTTTCCTGCTTTTGTGCACATATGTGCATATGGTGCACATTTTACGTTATATATAAAAAAACAAATATAAGTATGGGTAGATGTTAAAAAATGATGAATTTAAATATTTTTAATTATTTTTACGGTAAAAAATAAACTCTAAAAAAATGTTTTTGCAAATAATTTGCATGTGATGCACATGTTACAGGTCGAACGGTTAATATAGAAAGGGGTTTAAAAAAATGATGAATTTATATATATATATATATATATATATATATATATATATATATATATATATATATATATATATATATATATATATATATAGTATCTTATAAAAGAAATCTTACTATTTCTAAAAATAGATTGAATATAATAATATTATTTTTTTAAGACGTTCTAATCATTAAGTTAATAGTACAAGTAGTCACCAATAAAATAATATTAAATTTTAACCTGTGTTTTGAATCCTTATATTTATCAACACATTTTATCTCCTTCCCTGAATTTCGGATAATTCAAAATTTGAAACCATCAGAAAATACATGTTGATTCAAATATCCCTCCTGCAGATGGCTCTTTCTTAACAAGTTTTTATTTTAATCCTTACTTGTAATTGATGTCACCATTTTTAACTTTTTGTATTTTTATCTTATAAATATATTGGGTGAAGACTTTATTATATCAGGTTTGTTCCTAAAAAGGTTTTTACTATATTTCTTTAATGTGTTGGCTTTCCAGGTTCAAAGAACTCAACCAAGAGGACCAGTTAGAGCATTGTATTATCATTAGTTTGTATATTTTGACATCTTACTTTTGCAATAAAGAATGGTTAAACACAAGATTTGACATGATTAAGGTAGTTTGTATATTTTTCATCTTGTTTAGTTTAAAAATAAAACATTTTTCATCATTGGTCCTTATAATACTTCCTGATTACGGTGATTATTGTCCTTATTATAAGGTTCTATATAGATTTTGTTCAATATTTTAAGGTTTCAAGAACCTAAATCAATATGAATCCTTGAATTACATACCATCATTGAAAATGTTTTAATTTGTGACCAAACTTGGTTTAAAATCACAATAAACAAGTTGACACCTGAGTATTTTGGCCTTCTAAAAGGTCTATTTATCGACTTTTGAATTACAACACCTGATATTCTAAAGGTTTATTTTTATAAACTATTATTTATATATTTTAGCATTTTACTTAGTAGGACATTAAATTAATAAAGGAAGTAAGGAAAACGAAAAAAAAAGAGGACGATAAACAGTACAAGTGGTTTGGGTATGTATAAATGGAAGTAATAACAATTTAGGGGGTGTTTGGCAAAAAAGCTTATTGCTTATTAGTTTATTATCTTATAAGTTAATAAGTAAGTGTATGGTAACTTATGAAAAAAATGACGTATTAGAGGTTTCCCACCGGAATAAGTTAAACACTTTTTTTAACTTATAGTGATGTGAAACCTAATAAATTGTTTTAAAAAAGCTTAGCCAAACACCCCCTTAATATGGTATGATAATACTTTTGAAAAATAGATGTCATTTAATATTCATTTCTCGAAGTGAACGCAAAATGGTTTTAACTTTAACGAGATCAAATTATTCGCCGCCCGCCACTTTGCGCGGATAGACGGCTAGTATGTATATATATATATATATATATATATATATATATATATATATATATATATATAGAGAGAGAGAGAGAGAGAGAGAGAAAAGAGAAAGAGAAAGAAAGAGAGAGAGGTTCAATCTATTATGATCACTAACTTTTTTAGGATTGTAGGATCATTTTTTCAACCTTTATTTTAAAGTTTGTTATATATATATATATATATATATATATATATATATATATATATATATATATATATATATATATATATATATATATATATATATATATATATATAGAGAGAGAGAGAAATTCAAATTTATTGCATAATTTTTATTAGGGGTGAACATGACCCCGATTAGGTCAGTTTTGGTGTAAACTCGAACCCAACCTGTATATTTCTGCTTTAGAACCAATGGATTCAGTTTTTCGGTTTCTAGGGTCGGTTTCTCGGTTTATGGGTTCAACCCGGGTTTTGGGTTTAAACCCATTTTTCAGTAAATGTAAATAAATAAAAAATTAATTCAAAATATTTTCAAGTCATCTAAAACAACCAAAAAACACCAAAATCAATTACATTATTCAAAGAAATATTAAAACTACCCAGTTTTGAAGCTTATAACCAAAATATGAAAATCAAAGTAACATACAAATAGTTGGGTCGGGTCGGGTTGGGTTTACATCAGTTTATAAACCGTTGGGTTGGGTCGGTTTCAATGGGTCGGTTTAGATCGGCAAACCTGATCCAAACCGAAAAATTCAGTTTTTAAAATTTAAATACAAACCCAACGGTTTGGATTCGGTTTTAGTTTTATTGATTTTTAGGATTTCTATTTCGGTTTCGGTTTTGGTTTTGGTTGTGCTCATATCCAATATTTATGCAATTTGTTAATTCATTGTTTTTTTTTTTTTTTATTCTGTACGCGTTTGCTGGTTTTTTTTGGTTGATATGACATGGTGAAGTGTGCTATACAAAAAAAAAAAATGGAATTAAGCAAAACAAAAAAGTAGCTTATAGTTGTCAGTTATAACACAGTCGAGGGGCCATTTATGTAAACTTGCATCTAATAAATATTGCGACAATCGGCGTACAATCTGTTTTGATGATAAAATTGTGGCAGAAGAGGAAACGTTAGAGCGACTGCAAACAAACGTATCACGAACACCTAAGATAGAAGTCATCATCCGCTCACGGCCTTTCCACAAACCAACAAGCAAAATCCATTGTTTGCCGCAAACAGATTTGAGGTAATTTCCGATCATCTCTGAATATCGATTCCTCTGTAAAAGATCAGGTCTTTGAAGCTAATATTTGGGTTTCTTTCGGGGTTAATAAAACCCTTGATAGGTTAGAATTCCTCGCCGAATTTCTCGACGAACGGTATCACCAATATTTGGATTTCTTCTATTGTTTCCCTAACTATGCGAATTATGCTTTTCATCTTATCTATGCCTGGTTTTTGAATTATTGCAAAATTTGATGTCTACTACACCTTTAGAGTTTTGATTCGTGTTTTTTCCAATCGAGAAAGAAAACTTTTGATTGAAAACAAGTAATTAACTCTGTGAATGAAATCAAGCTCCAATTACACCAGTCGGACGTGTATCAGTGTTGGCGGATGCCTCTTTGTTTTCAGTCGAGAAAGACATAACATATGAATATATTAGGCATGTGCCTTACTTGGATTAATGTGTTCCCGTCTTCTTTGCGTTGAATGTTCTTAATATCCTCCCCTTGTTTGTCGTTCCTGCCTTTGTTTGTCATGGATATGCTTATGTTAGGGTGGATGCCCCAGTGTCCTTTCTGAACCCTAAATCCTAAATTTCTAATCAATGACTCAAGTTCCCAATGATGTTGAGAATTTTATAGTTCTAAAACTTAATGATTACTTCAATATCATCGGTTACATGTTTTTTTTTACAAATTGTTCAATAAAGATCAGACTGGAAAGAAACCCTTCATCTTTCGTGCATATATGTTTTAATACCAATATCTTTTACATTTTTACATAGCTGTTAGCATTCTTACTTCCATATTAGTATTTTCTTGATATACTTGTATCTGATTTCTTATTCATAATGCAGTTTGATCTATCAAGAGTTAGGTACATGTAGCAATATCATGGCAACAATTGAACAAAAATTTCCACGTTCTTCATATCCAACCGCTGACATGGACAACAAAAATCCCTTCATCGACAACTATGCTGATTCCATGTGGGCTGTTCCAAAAGACCAAACTACCCTCCATCAGCCCACAAGGTCCACAAAACAAGACCACCCATACGACCTCTCCCACGACTCTGAAGATTTCATCGATGAAGATTACTACGAATCCGGTGATGAATATCAAAAATCCATTGACCAAACTACCCCTGAAGTAAACTTAAAAAACGTATTAACTGGAATAGTAGCAATTGTCACTGGTCGAAACAAAGACACAACCGAAAACACTCCCAATTCCGATGTTTCATTCATGGGTTCCGAAACAAACGGAGACACTTACATTCATCCATCCGTTTACATTCCGAGCGCCCCACCTCTCTTAGAACCAACCGGAATCAACTATTCCGCTTACAAAGAAGTCTTGGAATCCGAACCACCGGAATGGCTTCGTGACAGCTCAGCTTCCGTCTGCATGCAATGCAATGCCCCTTTCACAGCCCTCACACGTGGCAGACACCATTGTCGATTCTGTGGTGGCATATTCTGTAGAGCATGTTCAAAGGGAAGATGCTTGTTACCTGTTAAATTCAGAGAGAGAAATCCCCAAAGAGTATGTGACACGTGTTATGACATGCTGGATCCTTTACAAGGCGTGTTGATTAATACAATCAGCAATGCGGTCCAGGTGGCGAAACATGATGTCGTGGACTGGACTTGTACGCGTGGATGGTTGAATCTTCCGGTTGGGGTTTCCATGGAGCATGAGATATATAAGTCCTCAAGTACTTTGAGGGGTTACTGTAATGCTGCGAGGGTAAATCCGGAAAGATCTATTCCTGCTGCAGTTATGAAGGGTGCTAAAGGTCTTGCTATTTTAACTGTTGCTAAAGTTGGAGTTTTGGTTACTTACAAGATTGGTACTGGTTTGGTTTTGGCTCGAAGGTCAGATGGTTCATGGTCTGCACCTTCTGCTATTGTTTCAGGTGGCCTAGGGTGGGGCCCACAGGTATAATTATATAAATTTAACTAACTATGATTTGATCCAAACGTCCAACGTGCGATTTGTTTATTTATTTTTGTTTATGTAGGTTGGGGGGGAACTTATGGACTTTATAATTGTGCTTCATGATTTTAAAGCTGTGAAAACGTTCTGTTCGCGAATGCATTTTTCTCTTGGAGCTGGTTGTAGTGCTGCAGCGGGACCCGTTGGGAGGGTTTTGGAAGCTGATGTGAGAGCGGGTGATAGAGGATCTGGAATGTGTTATACTTATAGTTGTAGCAAAGGTATTTAGTTTATTGTTTCATTGTGTTATTTTATGTAAATGTGGAGTTTGATTGAGAAGTGATGTGATGATTTTAGGTGCATTTGTTGGAGTGTCATTGGAAGGGAATGTTGTTGCAACAAGGATGGATGCTAATCTACAGTTTTATGGGGATCCGTATTTGACAACGAGTGATATACTTCTTGGAACTGTGGAGAGGCCCAAGGCTGCTGAACCATTGTATGATGCGCTTGAAGTTCTTTACTCTAAACTTCAGTGTTGATGTTGGACCTTGTTAATGATCTATATGTACATATTTCATATTTCTGGTGTATAAAATCTCTTCATCCCAAAGATCCAAACTTAGTTGAAACTTGAAACTACTTGTTACAACTTGACATTTTATGATTTAAGGAAATACATGCTTGCAAATTGCAATTATGTCATGTTTATTTGTGAAACTGGAGATTTACAGAGTGCTAATTTTAAATGTGGTTTGTGGTGGAAGCATTGGTTTTGATTAGTTACTTGTGGGTTTAAAACATGTCGTTTTGAGATGGTTGTGATTGGTTAAAAACTCCATCTTATGGAAATTATTATTGCTTACGTTACCCTAATGTGTTTCTTGCATTGTGTACTTGGAATTCTCTAAGTGTTTATATTGCAAGTTAGGGAAAATGACTTAAGAGGTAACTACCTCTTATGCGTGTTTACATATTAGCAACTTCTTCTTTTTTGTACATAATAAAGCAATTAACTTGTTTTAACTATTTAAATTATACCAATAACTCAAAGGGAAAATGACTTAGGAGGGTAACTACCTCTTATCCGTGTTCACATATTGACAACTTCTTATTTTTTGTACATAAGAAAGCAACTAACTTGTTTTAACTGTGTAACATCCCAAAAATCATGACCAAAAAATTTCTTTTTAATTTAATACTAAAACCATAATTGTCAAACCATTAATTTAATACTCCGACATCGGGCCCCGTCCGACATCAGGCCCCACGTGACATCGAGCCCCGCTCGGTATACAGATGTCTCTCTTAGGCCCCGCCTGTCTCCAGGGCCCGCCCGCTAAACACATACAATCCTATAACATGCTAACACATAAAAAAACATACTCTACTGTATCCCTGTCCTAAGAAACATACTCTGGTAATAATGAGATACAGAACATCGTTCGTACTCATCTAGTGATGAGATACGGGAGCTCGCCCACACTCACCTCTTTACCAGACACATACAAGTATCAGATATATACAACAAGTATAATCTAACATGAAAACATTCCTCAGGCACCCGCCCGACATCAGACCTTGGTCTGGAATAACATACTAGCAAACAATGCCTATAGCTAACCCCCGAGTCTTCCTACTCATAGACTACATGGGCTAGCATTATGGCCTTAGACCCATTCACACAGTGAGGAGACTCACCTTGCACTGCTGAAGCCCTGGCTGGAACTAGCTGAGTACGGACGAAGTTCTGTATCTCATTATTAGCAGAGTATGTTTCTTAAGATAGGGATACAATAGAGTATGCTTCTTTATGTGTTAGCATGTTAGATGATTGTATGTGTTTAGTGGGCGGGCCCGGAGATAGGCGGAGCCTAAGAGAGACAAATCTGTATACCGAGCAGGGCTCGATGCTAGACATGGCCTGATGTCGGGCGAAGCCCGATGCTGGAGTATTAAAATAATGGTTTGACAATTATGGTTTTAGTATTAAATTAAAAACGAAATTTTTGGTCATGATTTTTGGGATGTTACACAGTTAAAACAAGTTAGTTTCTTTCTTATGTACAAAAAATAAGAAGTTGCCAATACGTGAACACGGATAAGAGGTAGTTACCCTCCGTAGTCATTTTCCCTTTGAGTTACCGGTTAAAACATGTATTAGCCGGTAATATTGGTATAATTTAAACAGTTAAAACAAGTCAGTTGCTTTATTATGTATAAAAAAGAAGAAATTGCCAATATGTGAACATGGATAAGAAGTAGTTACCCTTCTAAGTCATTATCCCTGCAAGTTATTTCTTTGTTCAAGTTTGGTTTCTCAAGACTGAGAGAATGTTCGACTTGTTATCAATCTATTTTTAATGGCTTCACCTAGTGATGTAGGCAACATTCAAATAAGTTGTCCATTTGTTTTTTAAGGACTTTTGTACAAGTTGGTCTTTTTATAGTTGATTGAAAACCCATGTTCAAAATTTTCATGGCAAGAGTTTGTAATTAACAAGCTCATTGAAAAAGATTAGGTTTAAAAAAGGCTTTTTTAAATTTTCACAACCGTTTTTTATAAAGATAAAAAGTTCTAAAATCTGGACTTTTCAAAGGTGAATCTCATTTATTTTTCATCAAAATCTAGAGTTTTTGTAGGTCTGACAATTGTGTCATGTTCGGGTTGGTGAGTCATGGATTAGTAGGTTAAAATACACCAACTTGAGCATGACCAATTTAACTATACAGGTCACAAATTGGCGGGTCACGAGTTGATGTGTTTTGAACATAAACTCATATATGACCCGTCAATCCACTTATGTATACGGATTCACAAGTTGGAGAGTTCATAGATCAGATTTGGATTTGTGGGTCAGAGTCTATGAATAAAATAGATAATTAAACATGAATAAATTCTAGATGCAAATAAAAATTAAAAACATTTATGAAAACATGTTCAAACCAAAATATTAATATAAACACAAATAATTTCAATTGTTAATGTAATAGCCATTTTAATACAAACATAAATACAAACATTAATCCTACATTCCTACGAATAATACTCAATGTTTTAAATAACGTAAGACGTGACTTGACGACAATGTCAAACCTCAAGTTTTTCTAAGCATTGGCGAGCCATACCGTTTGTAAGGCGTGACATAAGACAAATATTTTGTATATAATTAATATTTTTATATATATAGTTTTAACTATTATTCATTTTTATACATATATATGAGTTAAGACGGCATTTTGGTAAAGTTTGGCGGTAGGTACAAGCCTTGGAGTCATGATAGAGCCATGTCGAGCTTTTTAGAACCTTGAATACTTAATACATTTAAAAAATATATAATTTTTTTTATTAAAATTCTAAACGGGGTGCGGGTCAACCTATATGTTTTTTGAAAAGCCCATTTATGACATGTTTAATAAAAAAGTTGGGGGGTTAGCGAGTTGACGGGTTGAAAAATTCAATCCAAACCCGTTTATTTCGTGTCGTGTCGTGTCGTATCGAGAAATGTTAGATTTAAGTTTTTGTGAGATAACAACCCAAAATGATTTTATCAATACTATTTCTAGTGTTTTTAGCAAAGAAAAATTATGAATAAAGTACATTGAATAACGGTTTACATTGATTCAACCGAAATCTGTAGAACATCACGATTATTCGCAATAACCTATTTGTTGACATTTTATTTTTCATTTGATTTTTCATAGGTTAGAATTTATTACTAATATATTTTTAGTATGAAATAAGTCTCTCCTTCAAAAAAGTATTATTGATATCAACATCCAAGGCTTTGAAAATCGCTAGATGGTAGTCAGAGGTCTAAGGATAATCATCTTAGATGAAGATTAGTCAGGACTCTAAATTATAAAAGAAAAAAAATAATTATCCTAACAAATAAGGAAATAATCATCAAAAAGTCATATCATGATGTTTACCATCAATATAATGCAGCGAGGGAGATACAAAGAGACATATGTGAGAGGGAAGATAAGAGAGAGAGAAGCTTACCTATGATTGGTGTCACCCCCAATAACTCACTAAGGCTTAACGGAGTGGAGCTCACTAAAGCTTGACACATCTGATGTGTCATCGCTATTCACTGTGCCACCAACTCGACATGTCGAGTTTGGTGGCCATACTCGGTGACCACATGTCGAGCCCTATCTTGTTTTCCTTCTTCCCCCTTTATTCTCCATATTTTCTTCTCCACTTGGCACCAACTCCTTCCTATCTTCTTCTTTCCTTCTTTCCTTAGTCGGAGTTGAGGTGGAGCTTGGTGCAGTCGACATCACTCCCTTTGGCCTAATTGTCGTGTTCAATATTCTTTCTAACAGTGTTATACCATATGTCAATCACAACATCCTCATTTCTACAACTTGTATCTTCTTTTCATGTTCTTTTTTAATCAACCAACATTCAAATCCATACAATAAAACAAGTCTTATAGCCACCATATAATTTTTTCCCCTTTAGTTTCAATGGGATCTTATTGTCATACAAACTTCCAAAATATGACCACTTAATTATTATTTTTCTTTTTGTAGGTTTGGGTGAACTTAAGGACTTTATAATTTATGCATTTATCTATTTGAGTTGGTTGTAGTGTTGCTGTGGGACCTGTTGGGAGGGTTTTAGAAGCTGATGCGAGAACTGGTGATAGAGGATTTGGAATGTGATATACTTATAGTTCTAGTAAAGGTATATAGTTTATTATTTCATTGTGTTATTTTAAATAAACGCGGAGTGATATTTGTGATTATTTAGGTGTGTTTGTTGGAGTGTCATTGGAAGGGAATGTTGTTGCAACGAGGATGGATACTAATCTACAGTTTGATGGGGATCCGTATTTGCAACAAGGATGGATATACTTCTTGGGGCTGTGGAGAAGCCAAAGGCTGTTGAACCATTGTATGTTGCTTTAGAAGATCTTTATTCTAAACTTCAATTTTAGCTTTCTGAATGGTGTCCTGTTAATAATGTTCTATGTATACATATTACCATTATGTAAATTGTTTTCTCCTAAAGATCCAAACATAGTTGAATATACTTGTTAAAACTTGGCACTTAATTATATCTTAAGGAGAAAACTTGGCACTGGTTGTGATTGGTGTTCCATTGGTCTACCATTTATCTTTTTGAAAGTTTTACTTAGTGAAATTGACTAGGAGTTGCTTAAAAAAACGTACCCTAATTGCTTAAATTAGCCCAATGTGTTTCTGATAGTTTTTATGCTCTTACATTTCAAGTGTTTACATTTGCACGCCTTTTCTATGTTCAAGTTAAAGAACACAACCAAGTGATGTTTTTTCTGTGTTCACCTAGTTTTGTAGGTAACAGTTTGATGAGTTTGACTATATTTATGTAAACCAAAATGAAGTGGATAATACTATATGTTTAAATTTAGATTTATCTATCTCACTAAATCTCTTAATCTTTATAAATATCTCCATGTGGCCACGGAAGCTGTAAAGTTATTAGTTTGTCAAACAATGATGGTAATATCATCAAGGAACAAAAATGAACCATCCTAAACTGCAACCAAATCCACCAAAACTCTCTCATCCTTAAAGAAGTTGCTTTCTAAACTCATCACAACTTCTTCTTCTTCTTCCTTCAAAAAGTTGGTAGATGACGACAGTGGCAAATTTAGAATCAAAAACCATATGGTTCCTTACATAAATGAAACTGAAAAAAATGAAAAAGTAAAAAAACTATTATTGGTGGTGGGTCGGGTTGTAGGCCTTAAAATATTAAAACATCATTCCA